GGGTGGGGGAAGAGGAGAAGGTGACAGTGAGGGTGGTGGGGGTAAAAGGCACAGTTGAAAAGATAAATCCACAGGAGAATCATAAAGGCAGGGAGAGAGTAAGCAAGGCGGAAGGAATCCCAGAGAACCAGGCCAGAATGGCTGGAGAAACTCTCGCACGGTTGGTGGAAGAGGCATGGGATATGAAGCAGGCCATTCCTAGATAAGCGATCGGAGTAGGATGGTTGCAGGAGGCCACAGAAAGAATGTATCAAAGCTGTGGAGGGATTTGGAAGTGAGGACAAGAATCTGAGAATTCAATCCACTGGAGGATGGGGAGCCAGTGGAGCCAAGCGAGGATGAGTTGAAGTACAGAGCAACCATGACCTAGTAGAATGGTGGAACAGGCTAGAGGGGACTGAATGGCCTACTCCTGTTCCTACTTTCCTAAGAGGGTGATAGGATCAGAGTTTTAGACGATGCTGAAATTGTACTGAATTTCAGACAAGTGTAAGTGCTGGTAGAAATTGTTGTCGTTGTTGGTACAAATGCATGCGAGATGCAGATTTATTCGCTGTGAGCTTCGCTTCATTTTTACTGTGAAGTGTGGTCACTGTGGGTAATCGTATTGCTCATCACTGTATTTTGTAGGCAATCGTGACTGCCAGTTTGGATGCGGCAATGTCCCATGAACAGCCATGAAATGAGTGATCAATTTTATGGTGTTAAATGATCATTATACCAACAGCACCTTTTTCCACAGAACAATCACAACGATTTTTTCTGCTATGTCAAGCGACTGACATTATCTTCAGTGAATGGGTTTCATTAAGGATGTAAAGAAAGCTCCTTAGCAGACCCTGTCAGGTGAATGGCTTGTGCTCAGCCCTAACAACAGTCTCTTCTGTCTGTTGAATTTCTCCGGCTTGTGGTTTAAACCTGTTTGGGCAGTGCTAGCACAATAACAAAGAGAACGCTGGTGGCTGAGCCATCAAGCACCTTTGTGGCTTGCTTTGTGCACAACAGGCCTGCACGATAACTTGAAATAATCATGCGTTTTTTTTTGAAAAGAAGAAATGAACAAATTGCTCATTGCTGCAAAATGTTAGGTTCTGTGATGAGCAGTCCAGCTAAAGGGGACTGAAATAGCTGCGTGTGTGCTTTAGCTTTAGCCGCTGTGGGAACATTGGAATTTGCTGCAAGTGGTGCACACTGGCTGGGTGTCTGTCAGCCCCTGTGGGCAATATAACTGCATTGTCGCTCTCTCGACTAGCTTGAGGTTTCAGCAAACAGGAATTCCTGTTAGCAGATGGCCGAGCACCTACTTTACTGTTGTAGCAGCAGCAGCAGCAGCCCATTTTTTCTTATCTTTGTTCTCCATTATTTTTGTGGTTATCTGTTCTCTTCAAATGATGCCCCTGTGGTTACTCGTGCAAATATTGGCCCAATACAAGAGGCCTGGTCATTCTGCGCACAGTTAAACAGCCCACAAATGGGGCCGCGCAGATAAACCTGAAGTGAATCATCAAATTTATCAGGGGAACAATTCTGCATTTTGTTCCTATGTCCGGCCATTTTAGATTTTTTTTTATCTTTGTATTGGAGCACGCCATCCCTCAAAATGATAATATTATTTGACGTAGCCACTTATCACATGGTCAAGCTGTCTCAGAGAGATTCACTGTGAGCTTCACTTCACTTTTACTGTGAAGTGCGGTGACTGCGTATTTTGTAGGCTAACGCAACAGACAGTTTGCACTCAGCAATATCCCATGAGCAGCAGTGAAACGAGTGATCAATTTTATAGTGTTAAATAATCATTATACCAACAGTAGCTTTCTCCACAACAACCACCACAATTTGCATTTATCATTCCCTTTTATGTACGTATCCTCCTTGGGGGGTGCAGGGGGGTAAGCAGGGTTTCCTTGGAGCTGAACTGGCTCCAAGGTGATTTGCCTGACAACAGAATGTCGGAATCGAGCCAGCCCTCTGTGGCGGTCTCGGTATTCCGGTTCCTGAGCCAGAAGGGTCAGCCGTATTCCAGGGCACCACTGATGGCAGCACAGCCAGCTTGGTGTATTGGCAGGACCTGGAAGAGCAGACCAGTCACTGGGAGCAGGGAGTCATCCTATTCAGCTCCTGTTAACCCTGCAAGCCCTAACAGGTAGGGTGGTCCTAGCTGGAACAAGCAGCGGAAATGCTGGCCGGACAAGGTATGCGGTTTTAGCTGGTTAGACTCCAGCAGTACCCCAACGCACGCTCTGGGGTCCCCAAGCCTTGGCACTTGCCAACCTGCGCCTAATACTTTCTGGAATTAGGTAAGCAGGATGCATCCCTCCAGGGAGAGAGTGTGCATTCCATTCCAACAATCTATCTCTGGGTTTTCTATGTGGAGGTGGATTGCTTGGTTTGGATACTGTTAAGCACGGTGAAGAGTTTCTGCATGTGTCAGACACCTGACTAACTACCCCACAAAAAAACACCTTTTGTGCAGGTTAATGTCTCAGAGGTGCTTTACAGAGGTGGGGATGGACACTGAGAACAGGAAGAAGGAAATAGACCTTCAAGAGACTTCTAATGATGGATACAGAGGGGGCGAGGAGCAGGGATTTAGGGAGGGATTTTTAAGGGTTTGAGAGCATAGAGACAAAGGACTATTCTGCTGCTGATGTGGCAGAAGGGTCAAAGAACAACAACAACAAGAAGATTACATTTGTATAGCGCCTTTCACGTCGGGAGGACATCTTCAAGCAGTAGACCCAAGTTAGCTGAGGAGAGGAGGCGGTCTGGCGAACGAGGCTGGAGAAGATCACAGATGTTTGGAGGTGTGCGGGCACCTATAGAGATTTGTAGGTGTGAGTGAGGATATTGAGGTCAATCTACCGGGAGTAATGAAGCCTGGTGAAGATGGGCAAAGATCCCATGGTACGATCAGAAATGTGAAGGGAGTTTTTGCCTGGTGGTCACTCATTTTGTGTCTGTTTGTAGAACATTTCGGTGACCAAATTCGTAGCTGTTTTCACCTACACTACATAATAAAATCCTGTGAAAGTGGTTTGAGATGTCTCAATGATATGATAAGGCACAATATCCACCTTAACGTATACAGCTTAATTTGGCACATACTGAATGCTTTCATTCATCTCAGAGAGCACGAGTGGCATTGCTGATGTCTGCTGTACCCTCTCCTACTGACGACACCAGCCTCTCTGATGCTCGGCAGCCTGTGCTCGAAGCTTCCTAGAGGATGGATGGTCCCAGGAGAGCGCAGAGCTAGGGCTCTCTTGCTGCAAACTGATTCTGCTGAAGGTTCCACTGCAAACACATTCCTGGATGGGCTTCACACAGTACTGTTTGTATCTCAGAGACTGAGCCTTGGAGTGCATCCAGCCTCTGACGTCTGATATACTGCAACTGAACACTTCCATTATATATATGGCCCCTCCTCTTGCCAGGCCCTTAATCCACGTGGCTCAGGCCCTCTGTGTGTCCCCTGACCCCTCTGTGCCACCATTGTTGTAGTGCCTGAAGGCTGTGGCTTCAGCCACAACAATAACAACTAAACTACATTTATATAAAGCCTTTCAAGTCAGAAGTATATCCCAAAGCGCTGGCATTTGCACCCGAGCTGGGGGTCGGTAATCAAGAGGGGTGGAGGGTATTACTAATTATTAATAAGTATTACTACTCCCCTTAAACTCTGGAACTCCCTGCCTTGATCGTTCCACCTCGGACCCTCTTTATCTATCTTTAAATCCCACTTTGGGACTTACCCCTTGGATCATGCCTAAGGTCACCTCCCCCCCACCCTTTCTCCCTTACTCAGCATCCCGTCACTGGGCAATGCTCCGAGACGCTATCCTGCATAAAATCGCTATATTAATACAAGTTGTCTTTGCTGTTACACTTTTGTACCTGCAGGATCTGCCTAATGATCTCTTCACTACATGTGTAACTAACACAGATCTTGCAGTTACTTGTAAAAAAAGAAATTGATTGTTGAGGTACTCAATGCTGGCAAATTAACATCCAGTGGAGTTTAAAATGAGAAGGAGATAATCAGCTTTCTTGGACATGAAAGTATTTGCCACTACAAGTTTTATGTAACCTTACATCAAACGCTTATGAAACGAAGCACTTATATTTCTTATTTATCGTTAGAAAATATTCTTCTGATTCCAGATACCTTTTTGCAATGGCTATGAATTCTATTTTTTGATGGAACCTTGAACCGACAGCTCACGGTCTCAAAAAGGGGAAAATATAAAATTTTCACAAAAATGCAATACACACCGCACACACTGCACATATGAACCACACACGCTGCACATATGAACTACGCACACTGCACATATGAACCACACACAATGCACACACTGCATTAACTGCACTGCACACACACTGCACACATGCACCACACACGCTGCACACACTACATGATCACACGCACAGCACACATGAACCACACACACTGCACACATGAACCACACACACTGCCCACACTACATGAACCACACACACGGCACACATGAATCACACACACTGCACATATGAATCACAAACAATGCACACGTTACATGCACTGTAGGAATCAGAGTCACACAGCACTCACCACAGACACTCAACACGCACTGCTCAGATCACAGAAAACACATGCATCACAATCCTTAACAACGAATGAACCTGTATGAAACCTCACCAATTGCACACACTGCACCACGTACACCACAACTCACACACCATGCCTCACGCTCTGCACCTCAAACAAGGTTGAGATAAGGTACAAGTAAAACCTTTGAGACAATTCCTCAATGAACATCTTGGGCGGGAAATTCCTTTTCCCATTTGTGTAGTGACTCTTAACAATGTGGCTTCTAATAATGATATTTTTCCAGAAGTAAGTACATGATCTAAGTAACTGTAATTAGAGGCATTTCATTCCCTTCCTCTTGTATGAGACTTGGTTTGTAATGTGCTGGAAATGTTTGATTGTGAAGTCTGACTGTTTCTTTCTTTAGCTCTGCTTATGATACCCGAACACGGCAGAAGGTGGCTATCAAAAAGCTCTCAAGACCATTTCAGTCTCTGATTCACGGACGGAGGACATACAGGGAGCTGAGGCTGTTGAAACATATGAAACATGAAAATGTAAGTGACCACTGTATCAAACAGTTCATCTTTCTGCCTGTTTCCAGGTAGGCGTTAAAGATCCAAGGATAGTATTGGAAAAGTAAGTTTATCCCAGTGCTCTGGCCAACAGACTAAGCTGTCATTCACCCTACAGCTCTTTGTGGATCTTTGCTGGGCACAAATTGGTTGCCTCACTGAATAAAACAGTTATTACACTCGACAATTGTAGACTTGTCACCAACATCTGCTAAAGCTTGTGCGATCAAATAGAAAATGAAATGGCTCTCTATGTGCTTATCCTCAGAGGCAGATAATATGTCAGAGTGGCTCAGTTGATAGCACTCTTGCCTCTGAGCAGGGCCAATAGAAAATCACAGGAAAATTTGATAAATTTTGCAGAAAATTTGGCAAAATTTGCGGGGAGTTGATTGATGCTATTGTGAGGTACATTTTACCGCCAAACTACATTTTTTGACATAAAAATTAAACATGAAGAAATATCACTTATGGTATTAATTGTGAAAAATTATTAATGCTTTCTTTAAAATCCTGTTGAGGATTGATGAAGAGTTCTTCTGACTCGGTCACAGTATTTAGATATGATACGAATAAAGGCACATCTTATAACAAACAAGATCTGAAAGAAATCTAACCACTTATTAACATTAACATTTTGTTATGTTTATTTCAGGTCATTGGACTTTTAGATGTCTTCACGCCAGCTACTTCACTGGAGAACTTCCATGAGGTGTAAGTTGACTAGAGTTCAAAACCCAGACTGTGTATAGTGTAAGATTCTGTTTAAAGTTTAGTCAACAGTTAATACAACAGATGCATAAAATATAACAAGAACAGCAGAGTTACATAGAAAGATACAGCACAGAAACAGGCCATTGGGCCTTACTATTGCGTGCCAGGGTTTATACCCCACACAGGCCTCCACTTCTGCAGATCACTTCTCCTGCACCCCTCTATTCTTTTCCTCATGTATGCATCAAGTTTCCTCTCAAATATGTTGATATTTTTTGCTTCAACCACAGCTTCCGCCAGTGGTTCCACAGTTTCACCAGACTCTGCTTGAAGAAGTTCCCCTTAAACTTCTTTTTTGGATCTGTTGCTACTAGTTAATATTTTATGTGAACAAAATGTGTCTAATGTTTTAGAACATTTTACTTTATTCATTTTTGTACTTGTCTTTGTAAATTAAATTTACGCTAAGCTATGGAGTCAGCATGGTATTGTCGGGTTAAAGTACCAAGTTAAGTAAAAACAAATCCTTGTTATATATATATATTATCTATTCTTGTAAAGTGTGGGAATTAAATGATAGCTCTTTATAAATCACTTCATAAGGATTAAAAATAAATAGCATTTTATTTAGAAGAAGTAACAAATGCTGCAGTGGAACGCCGTTATGATGTGGGGTCACATATAATGTGTGTCACATATAACCGTTCAGATCTGACCTTCTGGAACTTCATCCCACAGTTCCTCCAACTTGCTCCTCACTTTTAAAGCCTACATTAAGACTTAAGTCTTTGTCCCCACTTTTAATCATTGCCCTTCCTGGCTTGGGTGTTTAAAATCCTTTGAGATATTCTCCTAATTTGAAAGGCAATGTATAAATGCCAATTGTATTGTATCCCATTGTTTTTTAGGTGAAGGAATTAACTGGAATACCGTCTCATTCCTTTAAAGATGTAGAGAAAATCTCCCCAGTCACTTATTCTCCATCGCAGCCAACCAGTGGTTTGTCCCTCAACAACCACTATCATTAAGCTAACAGTATATGTATTTAAGCAAGACAATAAGTCACTCTGGCTTTGTTTCTGCACAGCAGAATGGAAAGGACAACAACAACAAACAAGGGATAAATGACTGTTTAGAAAATTCAGCGCATTAAATTGTTAGCTTAGATCACTGAGTCTCCATTGGGGGTAAAATTCCGTTGGCTAGTAAAGTGCCGAAACCTTGGCAGTTTGAGTTTAGAGTGGAATTTCTCTACTTTCCATACCTTTTATCAACCAAATTATTTTACCCGCTCCTCCACACTCCACGTACCCTGGGATGAAGGCCGGTCTGATTAACCATTTCCATTCGTCTTGCTCCCATAAAAGAATAACAATTAATAAAAAATAATGATAAAAAAATTATAATAATTAATATATAATGATAAAAAAAATTGCGTTTGAAGCTCCTTTCACGTCCAGAGGATGTTCAAAGCATTTCGCAAGGTTTACTGTAAAATTAAGTAACTATATTTCGGAGGCAAATGCAAAAGCTAATCTGCCCAGGTCACCAGGAGAAACTCGCTTTGTTTTTGAAAATATATATTCATTTATAAATATAATATTTAGTACAACAGAAATCCCAAACAAACACAACATCTTCTGTTACAATTTCTTTCCTTTTCTCCCAATACAAAACACATTGCGTTGTTTGCGGTACATTCCTTCCCCGCACATAGGTTGTGCACACGTTTTATTTGGGCTGCTCCCTATAACACAGTTGGGAGTCACTCGTCGTTGTATACACCACATCCATGTGCACGCCCGCACACGCCCTGATAAGGCGTGCTTGCCACTTTCGGAAGGCGCCCTAATGTGCGCATATTTACCGTACGTACATTTTTGGGACGCTCTTTGGTTACATCTTGAGTGTCCTTCTGTACCCTTACTTCAGTCAGTTTTGGGTGCGCTCGTGAGCTACCCGGTGGGTTCGCCCTAAGCGGGTTGTGTCGGAGCAGCTCCTGCCGGGGTCAGGCTCCACCTGGCCTTTGCCGTGGTTGAGCCGAACTTCAGCTTGTCCCTCAGTATATAGTCCCTGATCCTAGCGTGCGTGAGCCTGAGGCAGGGCCTCCCCGTCCCCTTGTTCTGCCAGAAGAACACCTGGTTTTGGGAGCCAAAGGGGCTCCTTTACCGAGTTTATGATCCTCCCTGTGAAGTAGTGGCATGGGATTCTTAACATCCACCTGAATAGACAGACTTTGGTCTAACATCTCATCCGATGGATGGCACCTTCAACAATGGAGTGCACCCGAACACTGCATTAAAATGCCTCGCTCCCTCTCTTGCCTCCTTCAAGGCACGTCTCAAAACCCTCTTCAACTGTGCCTTCAGCCACCCTTTCACCCTTACCCTCCCTGCCCTCCAACCCCCCCCATAATCCCAATGCCTGCTCGGGTCCAAATCCCTGACTCCAGCGCCTTGGGACATCCTCCCGATGTGAAAGGCGCTATACAAATATAATTTGTTGTTGTTGCTGTTATTGAAATGTCAGCCTAGCCTGGGAGTTCAAAGTCCTGTTGTAGAGTTTGAAACCGCAAACCTTCTGATGTAGAGGCGTGATTGCTACCAACTGAGCTAGGCTGACACCTAATCCAGATGCATTTCAATTTACTTTGCAACTGATGTAAGACATGCCTTGAAGGAGGCAAGGGAAGGAGCGAGGCATTTCAATGCAGTGTTTTTGTTGTTCGGTTCAGTGAGGTGTAGCCCAATTATTGTCTGCCAGTTGCCTATTGAAATCCTTTTCAAATAGATTCATCTGGTAAGGCAGCTTTTTTGTATAAATTTTGTATTAATTAAAGCAGTGCTTGCAGGCACTCAGCTTTATCATCATGGACGTCCCCATGTAATAATAATAATAATCCTTGCATTTGATAATAGTGCTTTTCACGTCTTCTAGACATCTCAAAGCGCTTCACAGAATAAACTGTAAAGTGAATTGACCGTATATTTGTGGGTGAAATGAGCATGAGTTAGGAGCAGAATAAGGCTTCTCTTCCTTGCACCAACAGCCAGTTTCCACTCCAAACTCCAAATAGGACCATCTGGTGCTATATCCCCTTTCCAACACCACCCGTCCTTGTAAACCTCTCTGACGGTGTGTTTGCGCAACAGAAAGCAAAGTAAGTTGACGGCCAGCAGCTAAGCCATGTGGTGGAGCAGGAAGGTGCATTTGTACTTATTGTTCCACATTCTATCAGGACTACTGCAAAACCAACACACAATTCCAGACTTCTGCACACACACACACACACAAAGAGCAGGCAAGCTGTACAATGTACAATGTCCCACAAACAGCAGCGAATTGAATGAAATCAAGTTTAATTCGCAAACCATGGAATCATAGAAATGTACAGCACAGAAGAAGACCATTTGTGTGTCTGTGCTGGCTGTTTCAACAGAAATCCTTTCAGTTCCATTACCTATCCTGCCCCATATCCCTGTAGTTTACTTTTTTTTTAGGTAACCAGTTGAGGCAACTGGCTTTGCAGGTTAAATACTGTTGCAATAGGCTGTTTTAGAAGGTACACCTTATAAAAGAACCAGTTAGACTGCTTTTGGAAGCTTTGTCATTGTAATAATTTCACTGAGAATTCATTCCACTGTTGGCCACTGGCTTTGGTTAAATTACATGTTGTGTTTCATTACAATTGCTCAGCAACTTGAGAACTGAATCCAGCTTCCAGTTTATGTTGGCAGGGTGTCTATACACCTCTCTGAATTGGCTCCCGGATAAGATGTGTCTCCCTCAGACGAAGTCAGTGATGAATAAGAGGTCTCAATGAGTCCGAAGCATCCAAAGTGATCCAGGTTTGGGACAAATAGTTGTGTTTTGCTGTTGCTAGCAAATTACAACTGGCTTGGGTGGAGCTCACTAATTAGCACACTGTCTCAACACATTCCGCCCAGTGCATGCAGTTTGATTTAATTGCACAAATGGCAATGTTTGGCTCATGTTCAACAGTGGAATAATTCATTGTATTTTATCTCAAATGTATGACTGATCCACATGCCATTTTCCAAAACGGGGGGAGGAGAGAGTTGAGTGCTCTGAGACGCCGTCCGGTGTGAAGAGTGCTATATAAATGCAAGTTGTTGTTTTGTTGGTGGTGGGCAGAGACTCTACTGTCAGGTTCTGTCAATGTCCCTGTTGAGATGTACCGCAGCAGCCTGCACTGAGCTTTCTCTCCAATGCTCCATTCTTCACTTGGAGTCCTGTAGCTCAGTGGTTAGAGCACTCGCCTTGAAAGCGAGACACCTGGATTCAATTCCAGGCAGGGCGAAACCTTGGGCAAGTTTCCTTACTCCACACGCCTAATAATAATCCCTCCAAAACAATAATAAATTGGTCATTTTTAATCCACGACTTTGCGCAATTGGCTGCCGTGTTTCGCCCACAAATATACAGTCAATTCACTTTACAATATATTCTGTGAAGTCTTTGAGACATCTAGAAGACGTGAAAAGCACTCTATCAAATGCAAGGATTATTATTATTATTACATGGGGAAGTCCATGGTGATAAAGCTGAGTGCCTGCACCTGTATGTACAGAGATATCTCGGAGTGAGTGGATAGACGTATATAAGATGCGTATGTGTCAGCCTAGCTCAGTTGATAGCACTCTTAGTCAGAAGGTTGTGTGTTCAAATCCCACATTGGAATTTTTGAACTCATAGTAGAGGCTGACACTCCAATGTTGGGTTGGGGGAGTGTTGCACTGTCAGAGGTGCTATCCTTCAGTTGGGACGATAAACTGCCCGTGTTGGTGGATATTTCGAATGATTCGAAAAGAGAAATAAGTGTCTCCCGGTTTTCTGGTCAACAATTCCCCAAATAAAATTGGTCATTCTCTTCATGGCTGTTTGTTGGATATTGTTGTGTGCAAATTGGCTGACATGTTTACCTACCAATACAGTTACTGCACTTTACAGTAAATCCCATGAAGCGCTTTGAGATGTCCGTCTGACATGAAGGCAGGCACCATATCAAATGCAAGGATTGTTATAATTATCTATACTCATAAAACGACAAAGTCTGTCTGTCTGTGTGACAATCACGCAATAACCGAGACATGATTTATACCTCATCGGAAAGGTCTTGAAACTGGCAGTGTCATGGGTGTATTTTGTGGGGAGATCTCCGATCGTTGATGAACTATATAAAAAAAAGCTTTAATTAAGCACTAAAATATGAGGTATGCATTGTATACTGCAATTATGTAGCAGCAGAGGAAAGCACACGCGCTTCAGAGAGATACATCTATATTCTGCAAGAAATGTATGGCACTTTTTTCTGGTTGTCATGGGAGCAAGAGTCCTCCCATGTGGGACAGACAGAGATAGACTGAGATAGTGAGAGAGACTGAGAGAGAGACTGTGAGAGAAAATATATTTAAGAAGTCCTCCCACTGAGTTCTCCCCGTTGAGTATGGATAAAGACGAAATGTCTGCCTGTGTGTCTGTCTGTGTATCAATCTACATTCCATATTGGATCCTTTGGTTGGAAGCGAAGCTGCAATGGGTACAGCTAGTAAATTATAAACAGAATGGAGAAAATAAGACTGGAAACAGTGCATTCAGATATACAAGCTCAGCAGAACAAGAGAGTTGGGTGCTGGGTTCAAAGGCATCCCACCACACATTCTTTCCATCTCTCCTAAAGGCGATTGACGTCAATTCGATGGCCTTCCTGGGTATTAGCAGAACATCTAACTGGAGGAGGTTATCAAAGCCAAGTTCAGTTCCATCCTCACCCAAAATCCGCCTCCATACCTACCATCAGAGGGCACTGGGCAGTGATCAGGAGCAGGAACTGTTGTGCTAGTTTTCTTTTCCCCATCCCAGGGGCACATTGGATTTACCTGCCAGTGCTTTGGGACATCCTCCAGACGTGAAAGGCGCTCTATAAATGTAATTTTGTTGTTACCTGCAACTATTCCAGAGTGAAATTTAGATAAGATATCCTTTAAATTTGGTATTGGAATATGTCTACTTAAAGCCAGCAGTAATGAGTGTTTTACCTCTCCAGGTACCTGGTGACAAATCTAATGGGAGCAGATTTGAATAATATTGTCAAATGTCAGAAGTTGACAGATGATCATGTGCAGTTTCTAGCGTATCAGCTACTCAGGGGACTTAAGGTAACAAATATTTATGTAACTTATATATAAATAAACTGAGATTGTACCAATGATGAGATCTACAGTCCCATTTCTCTTTCACTCTCTCAAACTCTAACATTTCATTCTCCTGACTCTGTGTTCTATATTGTTTCTGTCGCTTTTATACACATAAATCTGATCTGAATAAATTGTATCATCCCCTAAGTCATAAATCTGGCCAAGTCCCGTTCAGGAGTTTATATTCTACACAAGTTTGACATAGCTCATATTTTACAAAAGTCGTATTAAATGTATGGTCCCAACTGACACGATTTATGTGAGATTTACTGCAATGCTCTGCTTTCTATCTAACTTGCCCCACTATCTTTGTTTAACCTAACCTCTTTTACACTCCCCCAAGATGTAAAAGATGCAGTGTCTCCTGCATAAATCATTGCTAGGTCCTTTCCTGCCATATGATTTAAGTTTGTCACCAGCTAAGTCATTTCCTCATGAGTGTGTCAATACACTATGACATGTATCCAAAACCACAGCATACTGAGTAACGCAATGACAAGGCTGCACCTGTGACTCTTTTCAAATGTTCCCAATCCTTAAAGCTGTAACTCAGCACGTATAATTTTATATAAACACAGAAGTCGCTGGGAACACGCAGCAGGACAGGCAGCATCCATGGAGAGAGGAAAATGAGTTAATGTTTCAGGTCAATGACCTTTTGTCAGAACTGGGGGATGTTGGAAGGGAGTGGATTATAAGGACAAGCAGAGAAGGGGGCACAAAAAGACAAAGGAAACATTTTTAGATGAGGAGAGAACAACAACAAAATTATATTTGTATGGCGCCTTTCACGTATGGAGGAAGATGATGAGATCAGAGGTGTTGATCTGTTAAGTGCTCTGAGACCCTGCCCTGCGTGGAGGGCGCTATATAACTGCAAGTTTTGTTAATGGTGCAAGACAAAAGGCAATAGTGGGAGATTATAGAACTAAGATGTGTCTTAGAACCAGAGGATGTGTTAATGGTTATAGAAGAGGGGGAGGAGGAATGGGGGGATGCAAGGCTGAGAGAAGACGGGTGCTGGGTCTGAAGTGGTTGAAATCAATATTGAGGACAGAAGGCTATAAGGTGACCAGGAGGGGGATGAAGTGCTGTTCTTCGACCTTGTGTTGAGCTTTGATCAAACAGCGTAGGAGGCCAAGGACAGAGAGATCACAGTGGGAGTGGGAAGGAGAATTAAAAAGGCAAGCGACCGGAAGCGCAGGGTTGTACTTGCGGACATAACAGAGGTGTTCAGCAAAGCGATCACCCAATCTGTGTTTGGTCTCCCCGACGTAGAGGAGACCACGGCGTGTGCAGTGATTACAGTATACTGCGTTGGTGGCAGTACATGTAAATCACTGTCTCACCTGGAAGCAGTGTTTGGGGTCCTGGATAGTGGTATCAGAGGAGGTAAACGGGCAGGTCTGGCATCTCCTGCGCTGGCATGGGAAGGTGCCAGGGGAAGGAGAGCAGGTGTTAGTGGTGATGGAGGAGTGAACCAGGGAGTCATGGAGGGAGCGGTCCCTGCGGAATGCGAGGGGAGGGGAAGGGAAAATGTGTTTGGTGGTGGGATCACTCTGGAGGTAATTATAAAATTATAATTTTATATTACTTAAAACTGCTGAAACAAGACATTAGTTCCGATTACATCCAATCACACAGTAATTCTAGAAATAAATTGTTTCATATTTCACAGTGGGGCACAACATGACCAAATAATATTTGTTTCTGCCAATACATGTAAAATATAATTACATGTCCGTTTGCTGTTGAAACATTATCGCAGGCCCTGAGTAATTTCAGTTCACAATAACTATAGCTGTAGAGCCTTATTACATTATCAAAACATTTCAAAATGCTTCACAGGATTTTTACTGTGAAGTGTAGTGACTGTGTATTTTTATAGGCAACAGCAGCAGCCAATTTGTGCACAGCAATGTCTCACAATCATTCAGCCGTGAAGTGAATGATTGACCTAAATTGGGGAGTTGCTGGCTGGGTCATTGGATAAATAACCTTCCCCATGCCATAGGATTTTTAACAATTGCATGAACTGGTAGGCAAGACCTCGGTTTAACGTGTGTGGTGGGAGGGGAGCTGCATTGTCAGAGGTGCCAGACTTCGGGTGGATTGACTTCACATCCATAAGCAAATGATGTTAAACCTAAGTCCTGTCTTTACCTGTTGTAAATGTTACTTTACAAGTAAATGTTAAACATTCTAGAACACTTCGTAAAGACAAGAGAGTTTCTTCCTATGTCATCGCCATCATCGCCTCCCACTCCCCCCCCCCCCCCCCCACGGTAAAATTGGGCATTTACTTCATGGCTGTGTGTGGGACATTGCTATGCACAAATTGGCTCCCTCATTTCCCAACAAAACAAAATAGTCACTAAACGTTGCATTAAATCCTGTGGAGCCCTTTGAGATGTCCTCTCAATGTGAAAAATGCTATATCAAAGGCACGGATTATTATTGTTCGTTATATTTTTATTATGATTATTATAGAGCCACCATAGTCCATGATCTGGGCCAAGTTTATTCGCTGCATGATTCCTCTTCATTCCCTACTATATTGCTATCTATCACACTGATCCTAACCATAACATTGGACTCCTGAGCGATTGTGCTCCTTGAAATAGCCATCCAAAAGGCATCTGAGAGCAACCTGCGTAACTACCACAAGAATAATAAGAGATCAATAATGAGGAAAGGCCATTCAGCTTACTCAAGCTCAACCTTCCTACGACAATAAATCTCCCAGTGTGGCTTATAGTTTCCGTTTTTTTTAGTCCAATGTTATTGTCTCTGCTACAGTGCTTGGTAAATTATTCCTAGCATGTCTTACTCTTTGAGTTAACAAAATATATCCTGATATCTTTTCTGAATTTCCTTCTCGCTAATTTCCACTTGCGTCCTCGCCTTCTACTCTGTTCATTGCCTCCGGCAATAACTGAAGTGAAAACAATTAAATGTGGTTGGTTCTAAGGGAATAAGTTTTCAAGCGCTGGTAATGCACTGCTGATGAACAATGAAACTTATTTCGACGATAGAATCTAATTCTTTTCTTCGTTTCTCGCCAACAGTACATCCATTCAGCTGGTATCATACACAGGGTAAGTGTTATGATCAGCAGCACTTAAACTGCATATTACCCAAGTAAAATTGTCTTATTTTTTGCATCATGTATTGCGTAAGTATGAATTCAATAGTAGTGTTAATAAAATCAGTTCCTCTGAGTCAGCCTTTGCACAGATTGAATAGAACTGCAGAAACCATAGAAATTTACAGCACAGAAGCAGGCTATTCAGCCCATCGTGTCTGCGCTGGATATAATAAAAGCAACTATTTCAGTCCCATTTACCTGTCCTTTCCCCATGCTCTTTACTCCTTTTAATAGATACTTATCTCAGTTTGGTCAACCACTGCTCCGAGCAGGGCAGTCTATATTCTAACCATTCTGTGTGTGAAAGAATTTCTCCTAATCGCCCCATTTGCTACCTACCTCTCAAGGCCGTCAGGAACCTCGGTGTTCTGTTCGACCCTGAGCTGTCCTTTCTTCTTCATATCCGCACCACAACTGGCACCGCCTTCCATCACCTCCGAAACATCGCCAGACTACGGCACTACCTCACCCCTCACGCTGCTGATACACTGGTCCACGACTTTATCACCTCAAAGCTGGACTATGGGAACTGTCTCCTCGCCGGCCTTCCCGGCACCTTCCTCCACAAGCTGCAGGTCATTCAGAACTCTGCAGCTCGTGTACTGTCCCGCACCAGGCTTCGGGGCCACATCACTCCCACCCTCGCCCGATCACATCACTCCCACCCTCGCCCTCGCTCGCCTCCACTGGCTCCCCATCCCCCAGAGAATCGAATTCAAGATCCTCATCCTCACCTACAAGGCCATTCACGGCCTTGCTCCCTCCTACCTCTCCGACCTACTATCCCCCAACTTACCTTCCCGTACCCTCCGTTCCTCTGGCTCCGGTCTGCTCCACATCCCCTGCCCCAACCGCCCTACCATCGGTGGTCGGGCCTTCAGCCTCTCAGCCCCTGGGCTCTGGAACTCTATCCCCCAATGCCTTCGCCTTGCCTCCTCCTTTTCCTCCTTCAAGGCCAGTCTCAAGACCTTTCTCTTTGACCGAGCCTTCAGCTCCCCTCTCGACTCTCTACCCCCTCCTCGCTCCCTCCCTTCCCTCCCCTCACCCTGACCATTTCCCCCCTGCTCAGGTCCTGACCCAACTGTCCAGCGCCTTGGGACGTCCTCCCGACGTGAAAGGCGCTCTATAAATGAAATCTTGTTGTTGTTGTTTACTATCTTATCATTTTGCCCACAAAATATATATCAATTCACTTTATAGTATATTTTGTGAAGTGCTTTGAGAGATTTTGGAAGACGTGATAAGGCTCTATATTGAACTCAAGAAATATGTTTATTAAAGTGATGCCCCCAATCACTGATACTACAGAAATGATTGAATCAATGGGCTCTCTGTGCTTCTGTGAATATCACAGCTTTAAATATGCATTGAAAATACGCAATCATTACATTTACATACCACAATATATATCCTGTGAAGAGCTTTGAGACATGACAGGGTGCTCTATCAAGTGCAAAGAGGAACTGATGCATATTTGTAATCTTACGAAAAAATGCATGCTAAGAGGTTTATTTCTGCATGATGTTAGCTTTGCTGAGTGAAAGCAGAAGTGATAGGGTGTGAGTCGTAACTACCAGGATACCTTCAATTAGAAAGAGAGAAAAAATCATTCTAGAACCTATGAAACAGAGTACTTCTGCTCAAACAACAATCTCTAAAAATAGATTTTTTCCCCCCAAGTGTCGGATGTAGGCAGAAACCCATCAATATGCTTGAGTCTCCACACCAAACTGAGTCCAGTTAATTACGACACCTCAACATGGAAATACCCTTGTGTTTACTCGCATAGTGTATGTTGGGGTATTGCTGGAGTTTTAACTGTCTATCACCTGCTAGCTTGCCCTTCAGAGTGCTGCCTGGCAAGCATCCCATGACTTGGCCAGCTAGGACTGATAGGGCTTAGGCTTGCAGGCTTAACAACGGTCATGTGGGAAGAATCCCTGCCTCCAGTGAGCTGCCCGCCTCTCCATGTCCTGCTCACGAGCCAGGCTGGCTGCTCTGCCTCATCATTTCCTTGCGGTACTGTTAACCACCTGTCTCAGAAGCCAGTCTACTGAGGGTTGACTCAGTTGTGACACTCTGTTGCCAAGTATAAAACATTGGAGCCAATTTAGCCACAGGGAGTTCTGCTTTAACGCCCCCCAACCCTCTCCAGGAGGATGAAGGGATCAATCCTGCTAAGTCTAATAATCCCTTCACTTTAAATTTTATAATAAATATCACCTTCCTAATGCAGGACCTGAAACCAAGCAACTTAGCAGTAAATGAGGACTGTGAGCTACGGGTAAGAAGATTATGAAATATTCTTTCAGTCTCATTTCTGTTTGTGAACGTGCGACAGTTTCTCTGTGTTTAACGTTACCCGGTGCTGAAAGTGACATTAAACTTCACCTCCACCTGCAGATTCTAGATTTCGGGCTGGCACGACAGACTGATGATGAAATGACTGGTTATGTAGCAACACGATGGTATCGGGCTCCAGAGATAATGTTAAATTGGATGCACTACAATCAGACAGGTAAAAATGGCAGCAGGACTGTGCAGTTTTCGTCTCTGCCAAGTGCTATTCTTAATGTCGACGAGATTAGAACAAGAAATACAAGTGTATTATCACATGGTAACCGCATACAAGAATACATGCAGTCAAAAGTGAACCTATATTAATTTATCAAATGTCACCTCATCACGGGGCGTGTTAAAGCTTTGTGAAATCCTCTCAATTTAAATAATCTTTGCATTGTATGCCAGCAATTTCTGACCTCCCACATCTAAATCCCTCCACGCCCCAGCACCTCCCCATCTCTCTGATCTGCTCATTCTGCACTCGCCTGCTCCCCGCTCCACTCAGCTAAACCAGGTGTGTCCCTGCCCCCTTAGTGCATCATTGGCAGCCAAGCTTTCAGTCATCCCGCCCTTAACCTCTGTAACTCGGTACCTATATCAACAGCATAAACAACAACAACTTCCATTTACACAGCGACCTTCATGCTGGGTAGCGTCCCAGAGCGCTTGACAGTGCAGGGTCTGATCCCCCAAGCCACGGGGAGGGGGGAGGTGACTGAAAGCACGATCAAAAAGGTCTTTAGGCGGGATTTGAAAGAGGGGAGGGAGATGGCAAGGTGGAGGGATTGAGGGAGAGGGTTCCAGAGTTTGGGGCGTATTGGCTCAAAGCATGTTCGCCGATGGTGGAGCAGAGAGAGCGAGGGTCAAACTAACCCTCTGCCTCGCCCTCTCTCTAATCCATCCTTAATTCCCACCTTAAAACTTACCTTTTTGACTATGCCTATGGTCACTTCTCCCTTACTCAGCCATTGTTAAGTACTCAAAGACATTATCCTTCATGAAGGGCACTGTATAAATGCAAGTTGTTGTCATTAGGTTGTGGGTTCAAGCCTTCTATCGGGCCTTGAACTCAGAGTCCAGGCTGACACTCCAGGGGGAATGCTACATTGTTGGAAGTGCCATCCTTTGAATAAGATGTTAAACTGAGGCCCTGCCTCCAGTTTTCAGTAGATGTTAAAAATTTATTTGCAACACATCATAGAATCATAGAATTATACAGCACAGAAGGAGGCCATTTGGCTCATCGTGTCTGTGCCAGCTCTTTGAAAAGAGCTATCCAATTCAATCCTACTCCTCCGCTCTTTCCCTATAGCCCAGCAAACTTGTCCTCCTCAACACATGATGAAAAATGAGTTTCCATCCGCTAAATAGATTAATTGGTCATTCACGTCATGGCTGTTTGTTGGATTTATTTTTCCTTTGTGTGAAAAATGGCTACTGCTTGTGCCTAACGAACCTGACAGCAATTACTGTGAAGAGCTTTGAGAAGTTTTGAGGTGGTCCTGACAAAATGCAAGTTCTTTCTCTCGATGTAAATACGGGGTGAAACTCTGGGTGAATGGATTCTGAATCCACGGGGAACAATAGATTACATGACCCATTTAAGTACAGGGAGCGCCATCTCTGAGTAAAGGCAGCCCAGAAAGCTTGGGGAACTGTTCCAACTATAACTGGCTCAGCAAGCTGATGGCTACTTGCACATGTGGCGGCGTCAGGTTTTCCAGAGGTTTCAGGTTCAGCCTGCCTGCTAGTTAAAAAATGAACATTCTTTTGGCCGAGTGAATTTCGTCTCTCCTTGGGAGATCATTCCCCTCCCTCTTCCCCACTCAACTCTCTCCCCGCAACCCCCACCCCCCCGGAAAATCGATAATAAGCAAAAAAAACAAACCTAGAGCCGGATGCAGGGCCTAAAATGTAATAAATACAATCATTCGACTTGAATAAAATGGGATGTTTCAAACCATGATTCACATGATTCACCGCAGAGAGAAATGACTGTATCACTGTAGGAAAAACGCAAGACACAGCCACTGATTTGCGCAACGCAATGGCCCTCAAACTGCCCACCGCCCCTCTCTCCCTGTCTGTTTTTAAGTCACGTCTCAAATCCTACTTCTTGGAATGCGCCAATGGCTGACTCGCCTCCCCCGCCCCTTCTTCAGGTCCAACTCCATCCCTGTAAAGCTTCCGAGATGATATCTTACATAAAGGGCGATGTATAAATGCAAGTTGTTGTTTAACTCAACTGTTACAATGACTTAGAGGTTAAGCTATTGATATAGTCTCCACTTGGGCTTAAACATTGCTTTTTTAACTCCTTTGAATCTTTCTTTGCAGTTGACATTTGGTCCGTTGGATGCATTATGGCAGAGTTGTTGAAAGGAAAGGCACTTTTCCCAGGAACCGATTGTATCCTTGACACATGGAACTTTACTTCTGGATTATTCTTATTTCTATTTCACATTACCCCACAAAATATACATAAGAACATAAGAATTAGGAGCAGGAGTAGGCCATTCGGCCCCTCGAGCCTGCTCCTCCATTCGATAAGATCATGGCTGATCTTCAGACCTAACTCTAATTACCTGCCCTATTCCCATATCCCCTAATCCCTCTGTTTTTTAAAAATCTATCAGTCTCAGCCTTGAAGATGTTCAAGGACTGAGCACCTACAGCTTTCTGGGGTAGTGAATTCCATAAATTCACTACCCTCGGAGTGAAGAAATGTCTCCTCAACTCTGTTCTAAAAGGCTGACCCTTAATTTTAAGACTGTGACCCCTGGTTATAGATTCTCCTACCAGGGGAAACAGACCCTCAGTGACTACTTTATCAGCCCTTTAAGAATCTTATATGTTTCAATAAGATCTCCCCTAATTCTTCTGTACTCTAGAGAATACAGCCCTAGTTTATTCAGCCTATCCTCATAGGTCAGTTTCCTCATCCCAGGAACTAACCGAGTGAATCTATGCTGCACCCCCTCCAGGGCAAGTATGTCCTTTTTTAAATAAGGAGACCAAAACTGCACACAATCCTCGAGGTGCGGTCTCACCAAGGCCCTATACAGTTGCAGCAAGACTTCCCTACTCTTGTACTCTGAACCAATACAGTCAATTCACTTTAATGTGAAGCGCTTTGAGACGTCTCAAAGACGTGATAAGGCACTATATCAAATACAAGGATTATTATTATTATAAGGCAGGGGTCAATCGCCATTGTCTTGCGAATGCTCAATAAAAACAAGAGACAGGAACCTATTTACCACAGTTTAAACATTAAAGCTTATATTTTTATTGCCAAATGCATGAAATACTTTGTGCTTCTGGCATCATAGCCAATTTGACTCAAAAACTACACTATCACTCCTTCCTCTTGTCTTTTTGATCACATGTGACAGTGTCACCTAGTGGTGATTGACTGGTAAGAGAACCCTGTCGTAAGGTAATAATAATATTAATAATCTTTGCATTTGATAGAGCGCCTTATCACGTCTTCGAGATGTCTCAAAGCGCTTCACAGAATATACTGTAATAGACTGAAAATATCTAAGAAATATTGTATTGTAATTAGTTTCAAGTGCAGTGACTGATTTTTGTAGGGAAACAGGTCAACCATAGCAACTACATAAAACTAAAGTGCTTTCTTTCTGTTTAAATACTGTGCATATCTTTCTTTAGTGCAAAAAAAGCTTCCCTGTCTTGCAAGATAAAACTCAGTGAGCAAACACTGAACTAAAGCCTTGCAATACTACAGCATATTAACAAGAATATACAGTTCTCTATTCTTTCTATATTTTCCGATAATACGCACAGATATAGATCAATTGAAACGAATAATGGAGGTGGTTGGAACGCCTTGTTCTGAGTTGCTAAAGAAGATATCATCTGAGCATGTGAGTTTCTGTGTTTTTTTGTTCAAAGTCACTCTGAAAACTGTTTTTAAGAATTCCCTGGGTGTGGTGGCGACCAAATCACACTCCACCTTCCCCCACATCCACCTCTCAGAGGACTTTTCAAACAGTTGCTCAGAGAAACTGGTTATGCAATGGATTAGATTGCAGAGCATAACATTGAATTGCTGATTAGCGGAGCACCATCTTAACAACAACAAGTTGTATTTATGTAGCGCCCTTCACATAGGATAATGTCTCAACGGCTTCAGAATGACGGGGTTGATTTGCCGATAAAGGGGGAAGGGGGAGGTGACTGCAGGCACAGTGGGAAAGGTAGCTTTGTAGGCAGGATTAAAGACAGAGGTAGAGAGGTAGCGAGACATGTGGGCAGAGAGAGTTCAAGGTTAGAGCAGAGTAGATAAAGGCTCAGTCAACGATGGTGGTGTGGAGAGAGTGGGGAATGTAGCGGTCTGGTCATTTTTATCTCTGATTCATTTGTTTAGTTACAGCAATAATGTACTGATCGGTTCACGAACCAGAAGAAGGCTGTTTTTTGAGTGGTTATTTAGAAGGGCCAGGGTTAATCCAACGACAGCACATCCAGGACATATTCCATCTGTTGATTATTCGCAAGGTGGTTTTCCTCAATAGATATGTTAATCAGCAACTTGAGGGTATATTAACGCAGCACGTGTAGCAAATTTTCACCTCATAATGTGTTATATTTTTCACTAGACAGGAAGCTTACCGACATTGGCAGCATGTGCTCTCAAAAGTAAACCCTGCTAAGGTCTGTAACTTTACAGATAGTCAAGACAGGCCGAGATTATCAGTGGGACCTGAATATTGCATTCGCCGCAGTTTCTTTTAAAGAACAGAGGCACAAACGTTCTCATGGTCATAGCCTTAACACCATTGTCTTCAATTGTAAGATTTTTAAACTGGCTTCCAGATAAAGGCCGACCATTTCAAAGTGATCCACTGCTTATATAATCTTAATTGCGTTTTTAAGAATGCAGTTTATTGGTTAGAGCAAGTGAGAGGACCCGGGTTCGATTCCCGGGCAGAACGAAACCTTAGGTGAGTTTCCTTACTCCACACGCCCTTGTTTACCTAGCAGTAAGCAGGAACCCAGTTGACAGTCGATGGGAGGATTGAACCGGGCGTAATAATCCTTCAAATAAATAGATAAATACGGTAAATAAAGAATTTGGTCACTCAATCCACAACTGTTTGTGCGCAATTGGCTGCCACACTTTGCCGACAAAATATACGATCGATTAATTTTACAGCATATTCTTTGAAGCACTTTCAGACTTCTCCACAACATGATTAAGCGGCTGTATCAAATGCAAGGATTATTATTGTTATGTATAAAGGTGTTTCAGTATCCTGAGTTTGGTTGTCTAGTATTTCATTTACTTTTTCTTCGACTTTTTTGCCTGGATCAGTTAGTAGCACTCACCCCTCTGAGTCAGAAGCCCCATGTAGGAGAATTTAAATTTATAGTTTAGGCTGACACTCCATACAGTTCTGTACAGCACTGCTTTGTTGGAGGTGCTGTCCTTCGGGTGAGATGTTGAACCAAAGTCCTATTTGCCTGTTCGGGTGAATATTAAAGCCCTCGTGGCATTATCTGAAAAGAGAAGGGATTGTCCTGCTTGACAATCCCTTAAACAAAATTGGTCATTCACACCATCACTGTGTGTGGGATATTGCTGTGTCAAATTGGCTGTTGTATTTGCCTGCAAAATACACAAGTCACTATATTTTACAATACACCCTGCGAAGTGATTTGAGACATTCTCCTGCTGCAAAAGACGACGCAGTGTTAAAATGCAAGGAATATTATTGTTATCATTTTCCCTTTCATTATATCTACTGTAATTCTGTATCAAGCTTATAAAATCCAGAACCTCAATGGAGTATTTTTGTTTTCTCTGCTATTTTTAATCTTGGTGGTGCCCTGCATTGTGGGCCTTAAACTTTCACCTAGATCTCACAAAACCATTGTAAATTGCCAATTAACTCAATCCTCTAGGGGCTAAAGGTAAAATGGTTCAGAGCTCTACGCATATTGGAAGACTGTACGTGTGGAATGTCAAGGCATTGAATTATTTCCACTTCTCATGTTGGGAATATGCAGCACAAAATGGAGGTGTTTGGAATTATCTTTCTGGACACCAGAGGGTGTTCTGTCCTGAATGTTAGTGTATATGTGTGTGACAACCAATTTTTCTGATCCAGTTAATATTCGAATCATTTTTACGCTTGATATGCCACCTTATCATGTCAGCGAGATGTTTCAAAGTACTTCACAAGGTGTAATAATAATAATAATAATACTTGCATTTGATATAGCGCTTTTTACGTCTTCTAGACGTCTCAGAGCGCTTCAGAGAATATACTGTAAAGTGAATTGACTATATATTTGTGGGCAAAATGCGGCAGCCAATTGCACACAGCAGGGTCCCACAAACAGTCGTGGATTGAGTGACCATATTATTATTATTTTTTTGAGGGATTATTATCAGGCGTGTGGAGTAAGGAAACTTGCCCAAGGTTTCGCCCATGTACTGTAAAGTGTAGTGACTGTGCATTTGTAGGCAAACGCGTAACCAATTTGTGCACAGTGACCCACCAAGAGTCATGAAGTGAATAGTCAGTTTATCTGGAAGATTATTAGCCAGAAATTTCCTTCTTTCAAGTAGTCATTGGATCTTTAATGTCCACCTGAATGGGCAGATGGAACCTTGGTTTGGATTAGTGTGGATTAAGTCACTCAATCGAAGACTGTTTGTGGGACACTGCTGCGTGCAATTGGCTGCTGCGTTTTGCCCACAAAATATACAGTCAATTCACTTTGCAATATATTCTGTGAAGCGCTTTGACATGATAAGGGGCTATATCAAACGCAAGGATTATTATTATTAGTTTCACGTTTCATCTGAAGGATGGCACATCGACATTGCGGAACTCCCCAGCACTGTATTGGAGTGTTGTATTGCCGTACAAGGGTTAAGTTGAAGAGCATAACCTTGTTTTATACTAACTTTTTACACTGTAAACATTTACCTCCTTGCAGGCTAGGAAGTACATTGAGTCTTTACCGTACCTGCCTCAACGAGACTTGAAAGAACTGTTCATTGGTGCCAATCCTCTAGGTACGACTTTCCCATTTATGCTGAATAAAATGCTGTACTTGCAGATTGCTGGTGTGATCCATTACTTGAGTGCTTAATGTCTCCTTGCTGTCGTAAACACAAAACACCAGCCTGTGAATCAACAGTAACATAATTTGTTCTTGTGAATTATACGCAGAACAAATGCTGATGAGACACACTGTCACAAATTACTGAATGAGCCTTGTTTATTACAGTTTCCACCACCTGAAGGGAAAATGGATAATGCGGAATTTCATAAATATTTCATAAGTTTATTCACTTAAGAGGCTGTATAAAAAATGTCCAGTTGATAACAGGTCCACCCGGGTTAACACTAAGTCACATAAAATAGTTTTCAGGTCCAAATTCCCAGCTAGGGTGAATTCACTGATTTCAGTAGTTTGGATGCTGCAGTTGTCCATAGCAAAAGTAGAGGTAAAGGAAAAAATTACTCATGTAATCTGCTCCTTATTGCTACACAGTAGTTCCTGCTGTGAAGTCGGTATATGTATGTGTGTGTGAGAGAGAGAAGTAAGGTCTTGTTTGACTATAATGGCCTTCATGCTTAAATCGTCGGCCAGGGCCCACTATTCAGCCTCGCATGTCAAGGAATGACACTTTGGCAATATACCAAAGAACTGCTCGCTCTTGTGAAACTGTGTTAGCTACAGGGGACAAGAGAAAATGTATGTGTGGGGGTTGCTGCACTATCTCAAGGGGTCATTTGCCAGTCTTTGTAAGCCAGGTCTCACCAACGGTGAACTGAGATGAAAAAATACTCACTGGAACATAATAGTTCTGTGCTGCTGGGGAAGATAAGGGAAGATAATCTTTGGGAATCAGGAAAAATCTGTCCGCAACTTTTCCCCTGGGGATGCAATGGTGAAGTGATATTGATTTTATGATGTATTTGAAAGGAGTGGATTCATTGGGTCAAATGAGCTTTATATCCCCTGTCTATCCACGCCACTCACCTTGTTCGAGGTCCGTCTCAAGGCTTAACCTTTTGACCACACTCTCGGTCATCTTTCCTTCCCCACCTCCTTTGGTTTCCACACCCAGCTCAGGTGCCCAGCCAGCAGTGTTGAGCCCTTTGGGATGTCCTCCCAATATGAAAGGCATTATATAAATGTACATTGTGCTGTACTGTAAATGATCTTTTCTAGTTCTATGCTTCCTTATGCTAAGTGCAATCTAGAAACAGTATTAGACGTTTTACATTCTTTGCCTTGATTACTTCCAATCTTAGCTATCGATCTGCTTGAGAAGATGCTTATACTAGACACTGATAAGAGAATAACTGCAACAGACGCTCTGGCTCACCCATACTTTGCTCAGTATCATGACCCCGATGATGAACCAGAAGCAGAGCCATATGATGAGTCAGTGGAGAATAAGGAACAGACAATAGAGGAGTGGAAAGGTTAGTGGCTCTGTGTATACCAGTTACGCATTTTTTTGTTGAAACGATTTTGTGCCTGAAATAATTTTAATAATTATAATAATCCTTGCATTTGATATAGCCCCTGATCACGTCGTTGAGACATCTCAAAGAGCTTCACCATGTATACTGTAAAGTGTAGTGACTGTGTATTTTGTGGGAAAAACGCAGCAGCCAGTTTGCGCAAAGCAGTGACCCACAAACAGTCGTGGAGTGAGTGACCAATTTTATTTGGGGGATTGTTGGTCAGGACACTGGGAAAGAGAGAGAGAGAGAGAAACTCCCTTCTCTTTCGAATAGCGCTACAGGAGATCTTCAACAGGAACAGACAAGACCTCAGTTTAACGTCTTTTTATTTCTTGAACACGTTAAAAGAGAAACGGCTATTGCAAAAGCCAATCACACATATGAAATATATTGTTAAAGAAATATTTCCAATATCTATTTTTCTTTTAACTCATTCTCGTGATGTGGGCAACGCTGACAGAGCCATCATTTATTTACCATCCCCTGGTTTTGCTGAGGAGAAGGTGGCGGTGGAGGTGGTTGAGGGAACTTCTCCTTAACCTTCTCTTTAAGCCGTTTTGTGGCCATGGTGCTTGCACAGAGGTTTTCAGAAGGGAATTCCAGGATTTTGATCAGAAGTCACAACATTTGACAAGCGCTTTGAAACATAAATGTGAATGGTTCTGTGTAAATGAAATGCAAGCTGCTGCTGCTGCTGTGTTTCCTAATTCTGCAGAGACACTTTTTGGAGACAAATGCATCATCCATCTTTTCCCACTATTGCCTAACACCTCCTTGCTGGGGTACAATTGCAATGATGTGGGTGGGCCTTTCCAGGGAATGTTCACAGGTTATCTGTCCATCCGCAACATCACAGTCAAGTGTATTCCGGTACTTACTCAACAGAATATACTGTAAAGTGAGTTGAATTGACCGTAATTGAGGATGTCTCAAAGCGTATTACACGATCTGCTGTAGAACCCGATAATTGTGTGTTTGTGGGTGATCGTTTCTTGATACAATTTGACCAAATTATAAATATACATGTTTGTTTTCCTGTTTTACTTGCAGAACTTACATACGAGGAAGTAATCAGCTTTGAGTTGCCTCAGTGTACAATGGACAACATGGAGATGGAACCCTGAGAACATCCCCTGAGCATCAACACCGCAGTGGAAGATTAAAAATAACACCAGTTTTCAACTGCATGTTGGTACATGACAACCCACAGCCTAACATTTTCACATACTATAATTCCATCCTTGTTTCACTGCAGTTCGGAACACCTTGGACCCCTTTGGATCCCCAGCTGACCTATACCAATCACACCAAAAAATACTGAATGTTTCTTTTGTTTTAATTCTCTTTCGTTTCTCTGTATTTTTGCATGATTTCTGTCCTCTAAACAATTAATAAACCGAATGTGTGTGGCATTCACGTTCACTATCTCAATGGCCCTTCAGTCGTTGTCCAATAGCTTGTGCTCATTCAGCACTCACCATGGAATTAGAATATTACAGCACAGAATATATTCGGCCCATCGTGACAGTGCTGGATCTTTGGAAGAGCTACCCAATCAGTCCCTCTCTTTCCCCACATCCTTGCAATTTTTTTCCTTTTCAAATGCCTATCCAATTCCCTTTTGAATATAAGATGATGAATTGAAGAGCTTTATCAAGGCAGAGCAGATTTCTGAGCAAGATGGGTGAAGGGAGATGCAGTCAAACATAGTAAAAAGCAAAAGCCACGTGAAGCAGCAATAAACAGGGCAAGGCAAACAAGATGCTGGGCTATATTGCCAAATCTGTTTCTTTCAAATTCCCATACTCAGGCTATATAGTGCTCGAGTCAGACTGCACCAGGAGTCACTGGTCAAGTGAGGGCAAAATAAAGCATTCCTGATCGCGAGGCAAGGTTTTCAAATGAGGTCAACCAATGTGGATGCCTGCGTAAGGACAGACACTGCTGTCGATCCACCTGCCAGCATTCATTGTCACGGTTCAAGCATTGGTATCACCACGAGGCAAGGTACTAGAGAACAACCATATCTAATAATAATGTTTGCATTAATAATAATATAATAATTATCCTTGCCTTATTGTGTCATTGAAGCGTCTCAAAGCACTTCACAGAATTGTACAGTGGATTTACTGTATTTTGTGGGAAAACATGTCAGCTCGTCAGCAATGTTCCACAAACAGTCATGGAGCGAATGACCAATTTTATTTGGGGGATTTGTTGGCCAGCACACTGGGAGAAACTCACTTCTCTTTTCGAACAGCAACATTGGATCTTTAGCTTCCACCTGAACAGGCACACCAGACCTCGGTTTAACGTCTCATTCAAAGGACAGAACCTCCAACGATGCAGCACACTCCCAGCATTGCATTGGAGTGTCAGGACTATCTCAACAGAAAGAAAAGAAAGTCAAACATTTTCAGGAACAAGATAGGGAAGAATATTAGCAATGGGAGGAAGCCTTAAACACCTAGAGCCAAATATTGTCCTTGCTGTAGGATGCCAAATTATTAAAATAAAATACGATTGTTGGAACGAGCTTCTGTTTCGCTTCAAAACTGAAGTGATCTGCTAGACTTTGGCTGATCTCTTTCCTGTGGAGTGAAATACAGTATTGATTCAGATGTTCCAAGTGATACTAAAAATAGCTAATTGCATTTATAATTGAGCCACAAATCCTCTTCAATTACTGCAACAAAGGCTGGAAACATATTTTCCATAGATTGGAACATCGTGGTAAATATCATTAGGTTTGAAGTCACAGAGAGCTGACATCTGCGTGGTTTCGGGTCCCCTTCCATTTGTCCACAGCGTGTGTTTCAATGATTGCAGCATAACTCACAGTTCCTCAAAACAATTGCCTTGGGATCTATTATATGCTGACTGCGAAAAATAGCAATACAAATATCACTGTATGACTTTAAACCAAGTTGAATGTTAAACTTTAAAACAGTAATATACAATAATAATATAAAACAGTTACAATTGTTACAATAACAATTGTACATTTATGTAGTCGAGAATTACAGGGGGGTTAAAGATGACTGAAAGTGTGGCTGAAATGATAGCTTTTAGATCAGGCATTAAAGGTGGGAAGGGAAAGGGCAAGGTGGAGGGACTCGGGTGGAGTTCCAGAGAGCGGGGCAGAATAGCTGGAAGCTCGCCCATTGATAGCAGAGTGGATCAGGCAGGGGACATGAAGCAGACAATTGTTAGCTGAGAGGAGGGCACATCCATTATTATTATTATAGGGTTGCAGGAGATAGAGAGCTAGAGTGGAGCAAGGCTGCAGAGGGAAAATGTGCCATAATATGCCATAATTATGGCTTAAATCACTGTTTAGTCATTGAGAATTACATTTGAATCTAATTAATCATGACTATACTTTATTCAAAATCCCCGATTACAGTGTCCCACTCACCAAAAAAATGAGGCCAGAAGCTATTGACTGCTTTCAATTACACTTGTGGTTGATATGATACACAATCCTGTCAAGAATGTGGCACTTTTTACCATTTGCCAGGCGACTCTTTTCTTATTGTGTTATGTTTGCTCCCTCCACGGTCTCCTTCTCTGTGGGCACATGTACTAACATTGTCTGTCTTATGGGGAATCTTACTATGTTGAAGAGTTCTCAAAAGACAGGTCTTTTGTGAAATACAAGAAACAAACCACACTCAGAAAGGTTAAGTGAGAGAAAAGTATAGTGTGACTTTAAGAATGGATTGAGAGACTGCCTGCTGGCAACCTTGGGCCTCAGTGTGTTAAAATTACCCCAGGATAGCAACAGCAGCGGAGAGGAACTGGATGGCATTTTGTTGCCTAAGAAACACTGATGCACTATTTAATTCTCACTGCCTATCACTCAATTGATCGAATATTTTTCTTCACCGGATCTTGCTTTAGCAAGGAAAGAGTTTCTGCTCAGGTTAAAAGGGCACATTATTACCAGAGAATATATTTGAAGCATTCGGAATCCTTTTAACAGAATGAAACATCTTTATACGTATTTATTGAAGTGAAGGAAAATACATCTTGTAATACAATACAACGCTATGCAATTTACAATTATATAGAGTCATCTCAAAGCGTTTCCTGTCAGGGAGACATCTCAAAGCGTTTCACAGTGCTGAAGGACATCCGAGTAGGGAGTGGCAGGCTACAGGGGATGGGAAAGGGAAAGATGATTAACGGTGTGATCGAAGAAGGACGTTTTGAGATGTGCCTTGAAAGAGGGGAGGAAAGGAGTGAGTTGGAGCAACATTTTGCAAATGATCCCCGAAATGATTTTTCAGCATATCAATATTTTTCTAAAGAAAACGTAAGGTTGAAATAGTTGAAAGAAGATTTTTTTCATTCTATTCATGTTTATTTAAGGTTTTCATCCTCCATTAGTGCCATTTACACACAATCAATTAGACTCTTCCACATGGGGTAAATTTGTGACATTTCATAACAGATCTATTGTAATAATTAGGAAGTGTCGCACTTTACTATCTCCACTTCTTGTCTTTGGTCTGAACCTCACTTGGAAAGAAATAGCCATTGGGTCCAGTGAAGATGTGAAGTAATAGAATCTACTGAAATTCCCTGTTGTCCAATTTGATTTAATCCAACTGTGAGCAATAGCAAAAAAGATTCCTAATACATATAAGAAAAGGCCCAAATTAAAAAGTAGAAGAGATTTTCTTATAACTACAGCAAATGAGGAGATGGAACACGGTACAGTACATTTCCAAGTAAACCCGGAGAAATTAGCCATTAATGCAACAACAATGAATCGATTAATCATGTTAGGGAAATAATCCAGTAACAGCAAATATTTTATGAGTTGTTTCTAAATATGATGTTCATTAACTTCACTCTTGAAACATCTACTGCCTTTGATAGATGTTTAAAAAGGAAACAAAAACTGCTAACTCTCAAAGTTGTACTTGCATTTGCTATACAATAAGAAAAGCAGTATTAACACCTGGGTTAATCGATTGCAATCAAGATTTGTTGCATGAATCGAAAATTTGTGGTTTGCAATTCACAAATTTGAGATTAAAGGAAATCCTATTGAACCTGCTGATGCCAACATTCAGAGGTTTGCATCCTCTGAGTCTAAAATTCAGTCTAAAGTCCAATGTTGAGTGCAAAAGTCAAATAATTTGTAAAATTTACAAACTTAAAGGTCGAAGGCTTTTAAAGTTAAGTGGACGAAGTTCCCGCTTAACTTTAAAATTCATCAACTGGGAACAAAAACAGATGTCGCTGGGAAGGCTCAGCAGCTCAGGCAGCATCTATGGAGAAAGGAAAGTGAGTCAACTTTTCAGGTCCACGACCCTTCGTCAGAACTGGGACATGTTGGGAGGGAGAGGCCTTTAAGGGCAAACAGAGAGTGGGGAAGTAGGGCAAGGAAGAGAAAGGAGACAATGGGGTAGAGGACAGGGGATGATGGGTTAAAGAGATGTTAATGATGCACAACAAAACAGGAATAAATGGAGGGGGGGGGTGAAAATTGGAAAAACAGGCAGACCAGAGAGAGGAAAGTGCAATTGTTGCAATTCCACCCCCCCACCCCCCACCGCCTCCCCAGAGAGGAAAGATGTGTTAATTGTCTAAAACATAGTTATCACTATTGTGGAGTCCTGTAGCTCAGTGGTTAGAGCGCTCGCCTCGCAACTGAGAGACCTGGGTTCGATTCCCGGGCAGGGTGAAATGTTGGGCAAGTTTCCTTACTCCACACGATTCTGTTTACCTAGCAGTAAGTAGGAACCCGGTTGTTAGTTGTTAGTCAATTGGCGGATGCGGTTATTATTACCCGGTATAATAATCCCTCAAGAAAAAAAACAATAAGAATTTGTTCACTCAATCCACAATTGTTTGCGGGAAACTGCTGTACGCAACTGGCTGCCGCATTTCACCCACAGATATACAGCCAATTCACTTTACAGCATATTCTGTGAAGCGCTTTGAGACGTCTAGAAGACGTGAAAAGTGCTATATCAAATGCAAGGATTATTATTACTATTATCACATCAAATGTAGCATATCTCACCCGTCTGAGTTTGCCTCTGAAGTGGCTTCAGGGTATGGTAGAAAATTGTAAAAGTGTACCATGAGGCAATCAAAGAGACGCAGAGTCCCATTGACATCTGAAGAAGCTAATACATTTGGGGGACTCGCACAAGAAATATGGGCAGAGATATTGAGAGTACCCCCCTCCCACTGAGAAAGAAAGCGCCCATCATCATCTATGTGGTTTAGTGACTTGTTGATACATAAAAAGTTATACCCTCCAACACAAGATTACAATGAGGTGGTGGCAACCTTGTAAATAAACATAGTCGCGCATGCAGTTTGCACAGCAGAGTTGTTGTTTGCAGATGAGCTGATGAAACAGAAACTGACTGTTCTTAGAAAAAAGCCACAGGAGGTGTAGTAGATATAG